TTGTGAAAGCTTTTGGCTATCAAAAGGATCTTTCTTTGGCCACAGCTGCTCTGTGGGCTGCAACAGTGTCTCTTCCATGCAAGAAGTTCTGTCTGTGCTGGAGGTCTTGCCCTCACCACAACACTGTCCTTGGCAGCAGGAAGCTCTTTAATGTGCTTTGGTAGTGGCAATCTTTAGCTCTGCTTAGCCTGGTAGAACAATGCTAATTCCTCAAATAGAGAAGAGGGAGAGTTGCTAGGTTTCTAGCTCTTTCCTGTAGCTATTATAAAATGAATCTGTTAAATATGGGCTTTTTCCTTGCATATTTTTTAGCTTGGTGAGTGTAAATTTGCCTGTTGAAATGTCATACTTGAATTTTCTTGTAATGTGCGAGATCTCCTCCTGAAGCTTTTCATATAGACTTGCTAGCTTGCTAGCTGTTTGTATGCGAAATACTACATTAAATGATGATGGAAAGACAAAAGAAGGCTATTTAGAATCCACTTACTAGGGTAAAACTTCTGCTAGTTTAAGATCTAAGCAGAATTTAGAGGGTTGAAGACACCTGGATGCAGCAGTGAGTGCATTATAGATGCTGTGATGAAAACATTCAATGAATGAATGGCTTTAAATAGAATTTGAGTATAAATTACTGCATTAGGACAGTATTTTTAGTAAATCTGTTGATGACAAAATCTAGTAAGTCCTCTGAAAACACCTCCTGAGTGTTGAAAGTTTGCTAACAACGAATTTTGGAGAAGGGCTGTGGTGTACTTGGGGATGAGTGCTGCCACTGCGGACCTTGTGATCTGATTGCTTGTGGGCAATGTCTTTTTCTCACTGTATTTACTCCTGCTCCTTACATCTCAGCAGTGTGCACCTTGCCTGTCTTGATTGACAGAGGTGGATTTTTATATGCTCAGCAGTCCAAGTTGGTAATCTTACCGAGAGGTATTTTACTCTGCAACCCAAATGTAAGCATGCTGATGGTTATGCCAGCCCTCAAACCTAGGAAAACCTCATCAGATGGCTTAGAAAAACGAAGTATAAAAGCTTAATGCTAATTAATCTTAAGGCTTTTCTTAAAATAAGTGTTGATGGTAAACTAGATAAATGGTTTAAAAGTGCTTTGGCAGGGTAATTCTCAAGGCAAAGAAGAGTCTAAATTATGATGGGACTGGATCATGCTGTCTTTCTTCTGGTATAGCACTTCCATCGTGCAACCCTTGTGTAACATCTATGTTGGGCAGTACTCTGCTGTGAATGCTTTAGTAAAGTGGGTTTACTGAAAGTAAGACTTCAAATGAATGAGGAAGATGAAGGCAAACATGCAGTGCCTGGCATGTGCTTGTCAGGTAGAGATTATAGCAGTCTGTAGATAGCTGGTAGTGTCAGAGCTGCAGGCAGAGCATGTGAAGATCAGTGAAAGTGAGGTGGCCCCCGGGTTTCTTTCAGAATGAAGCTCCCTTTTGTGCTTGATTTTTTCAGCCTTTTTATGTGCTAGGAGAATAAATTTCTATTTCTGTCCCAGTACGCAGGCTCTTAAAATGAAACAAAACACTTGGTAAAGCTGCATCTATCCTGAAGTATTGTCAGACCTCTTATCTGCTAACTGGGAGTGGAGAGCAGTGCCTCTCACCACCTGAAATGGTAGAAACCTCACTTTGTTTTCCCAGTTCACAACAACTGGCTCAAAAAACCTTGGCTTGGTAGCATGTGGGAAAAAATTCTTTGTATGTTGTTTCCACACCAGTGAGACTTAACAAAGCTCAGTTTTACAGCAACTAACTTCCTAGCCAAGTATTGAATTACTATGAAACTAGTGGTTAAAATATCACTGGTACAGCCCAGGAGATGCTTTGCCCAGCTTGGTCCACTGACAGTTAACAGTGGTGCACTGTTGAATGTGTTAAAACTTTGTTCAGATCAGGGAAGCTAGCATTACCGGGGTGTGGTTCTCTAAAGCACAGGCCTGTTTCCTGTGGTATCTTAGCTCATGCTGTCTTCTAAAATAGCATAGGTCAAGTTGCAAGTACAGACCCCGTCCAAGACTTTTCTCCTAAACCTTAGGTTGCTACTCATCTTGAGCCACAGGGCTTTTCTACTGGGGGAGAAAAAAGTATCTCTCTTCCTATTGAATGTACTAATTAAAGGATGATAATTGGTCAGACAGCTGAAGTGCATTTAAGTGAGTGACAGTGAAGGGATTTTGCTGGTTCCAGCATGGGACCTTATTTTACTGTGCTAACAAAGATGCAAATCTTACAAATAGGTATTCTGCATGAATTATGAGGATGCTTACTGGAGCAGCTTTACTTTTAAATTTGAAGGTCTGATTGGTGCTGAATAGCTTAAAAGCTATTAGGGCACAGGTTGCAAAGAGCTGCCACAAATGTTTCAATTCTGTTTTCTGGTGCTTCCTCTTTGCTCAGATACTTCAGCGTTCAATCACCTGTGCAGATGATACCAGATAAGAGTAGCTACTGTGTTTTGTCCATAAACAGTGGAGCAAAAAGACTATTTTTGTTTCATGGTAGCTGGCACATTAGTGTTTTAGGTGAACAGGGAAGACTTTAAAATAAACAAAAACCAGCCTGTTGCTTCACGGCTCATGTAATCTAATCCCTTTTATACTTAGATGTGGTTTATGGACATCTTTGCTGTCTCTGGTAGGTGGGCTGGGCAAGTTAGGCTTAGAAGCAAGGATGCTTTTTGGTAGAAGAGACAGCTTCAAGGTGTGAGTAGCAAAGCTGATTTTGGGAGCATTCAGCCCTTCTAGCAAGCAACTGGATTCCTGGTTCGCCAAAGCACTGTGAAATTAGCCGTTTCTCAACATCTAAGATCTGAGGAGAATAATTTTGGGAAGGTATAGCAAGAGAACTTAAGGCAACTGCATTCATTTTTACCTGCTAATTTTTTTAAACAAAGTTTGATTGCTTATGAGTTTAGGTCATTTGCTCTTTCCTTACTACTTCTATGGGATGTTTTTTCCTCAGTTTGACTTCATTGTGTCATAAGATTCAGATGGTTTTGGAACCCACTTATTCCTGGTCTGTTTGTTCACGATATCTTTGCTCCAATAATGTCTAAATAGCATTCCTTATGCATGCAACAATTAGAACGGCAACTCTTCTTGACCTCAGCTTTTCTGTGCTAAGCCTGCCTTTAACCTTTTACAGAATATACTTAAATTTTTAGCTAAACTTAAACCAGGAAAACCTTTAGGTTTATCACAAGGGGTATCAAGTATAAAATAGTGGTGTCCCTAGACTCAAGTAAGCTTTTTGGTAAACTTCAAAATGTATTTGGATGTAGTGGTCTCTTTCGGCACTTGACTTAGACTTAGCTAGCAGAATGCTTCTTGCTCGTGGAAGAAAATATGGTTGTAGCCCTCTTGCGGTCTGCTGCTGCTTTCTTTGTAAACATAATATGAAATCTGTCCATATACTTGTTAGAAATGCAGGGATAGGAACTAGCTGCGATCATATCCATATTGGGTGGCTCCTTGAAGATTTCTCTCCTTACTCTAGCTTTTTCAGTTTCTAGTGTCATGTGGCTAGCTTATATAGAGTTTGAATTATTCTTACTAAAACTATTCACAATTCCCTCTCAGCCCTGGAAGGCTGGTGAAGTGTGCTAAGAGGATTGATTGCACTGAAGAGCAAATAAATTAGGATTTGTTGATGTGGAGTAAATGGCTGTTGGCAAGTAAGAGAACTATGAATTCAAGGCCTGTATGTTGGCATTTGGTGCACTGTGAATATCTCGTCAACAACTTCAAATTTTGAACCTTTGCTTTGATGGAGAAGTGTTGAAACAGTCCGATCTAAAATATGTTCATAGACTCTGAAACATCTTTACTTTTTTCAGGTGATAGGTGTGCAAATAGAAATGAATTCTCAGACAACTTGGTGTACTTGCAGGCATTGTCTGAACTTTTGACCAGGCAAAGTATCTACATTCAGATAGGAGTATTCCTATCTCCTTAAGAATCTGCATTATGTTTTCCTGTAATGATCAGGAGTTGTGAATGGAATTTGCTATGTTTTACACTAATCTTGAGGTGAAATGGCTCTGATGTTTAACTTGCTTCATAAGAATTATTGGTGAAGATGTCTACTGCTGCTTCTGTGGGTGAAACTGCAAACTCCTTTGCTGCTGCAATCCCTTTCCTCTTTCATTTCACATGTAGAAATGTGATGATGAGACCTTCCTGTCAAGATAGATTGTCTCCTATAATGTTTCTTCTGGAAGACCATTCATGATCGATCTTGTTACATCTAGGGCTAATTTTGTCATGAAATCTTGACTGCAATATTAAGTTACGTCTAAATCATTTCTGCAGTATTTGGAGATATTTCACCTCCCTGAAAGAACTGGAAAGCAATAGGCAACCATATAGAGATACTTCTACTGCTTCGTGCAGTGTCTGCACATACTAGTGCATCCTTCTTGCCTTAGTACATGAGATCATCCTTGCATGCCCTGCCTGCTTCATACCCACAGCCCTTGGAGCATATCAGGGATCGTGCCTTATAATTTCTCCAAATACCCATGGAGACTGGAACAGTATTGTTAGTACTGACTAGTCTTCTGTAGCAGGCTGAGTTGTTAATGCTTCCAGGGATGACTTTGACATTCATACTTCAAATGGAAGGATTGGATGTCTTGTGGTGTGTACCGAGGTTTGGAACATCTGGTTTTGGGAAAGACATCAGAATGTTCTGCACTAGAAAGTCAACTTCATAAGCTGTAAATGGCTCTTGCATGTGTCAGTATATATGTGGGAATATTAGTAGGACCAGAGAGGATAAACTCTTAGAGTGCGAAACAGAAGTTATAGTCTATAGGGAAACTGGGAACACTGTGCTGGCAGGGCAGATGACTTTGTAATTGCTGGCAGTGAAGTTGCTGGAGGCTTGGGAGCTGGTCCCTGTCTGTAGACTGGTGTTGGTTTTTGTTATTGGGTAGTGTCGCTTGGAGCATGTGTGTAACGATGCATTTTCTGTCTTCCAGATCAGTGTGCGTGTTACCACCATGGATGCTGAGCTGGAGTTTGCCATCCAGCCCAACACTACAGGGAAGCAACTCTTTGATCAGGTAAGTGGTGGAGCTGCAGAAGATGTAAAGTTTATACGGGTGTTGTGATTCTATTAAGGCAAGAGCAAACCATTTCTAAAGGAATTCAAAGAGTGTGTGACAGTGTGTATAATAACTTCAAGAGAACTCAGCGTAGTAAGAGATTATACATTTTTTCAAAACTACTGCATTTTTTTCCTCCAAGAATGTGTTAGGTGCTATTCTTACCTTTAATGAACTGAATTGATGCTGTAGCTCATAATAATTGGGAAGCAGTAGATGTCTGCAGTCATAATTCATAAGATAAGTCTTGTGAGGGAGCTAGTAAGCTCTCTTTGGTTGGCTTACTTGCAAGTATTGTGTAATTGATTTCAAAGAGTAGTTGGTCTTTAAAATGGGAGAGGCTTAGCTGGGTTTCAGATGTTGCCACAACCCTTAAGTGCAGGTGAAGTGATACTCTATACTCCCATCAGGCCCTGAGGGAAATCTTAAGAGAAGTTACGCACTGTACTGTATTAGGCTGTCGTCACCTGCATGCTTCAGCCTTCTTCTGCATTCACTGGCTAGGCAAATTTTCTGCTACTTTGGTCCAAACAGAAGCAGGGAGGCATGTGCAGCCCAAAGCTGGAGCAGCTTGAAGGCAGGCATTATCAATTGCAGCGATTGAAATTTTGACAGGCTCCACTATGTTTCTCTGCTGTAGTCCTGAAGGCAATGGATTTGCTACTTGGAGGAAAATCTGAACAGGAGGTTCATAGCTTAAAGAAAAGTAAAATGAATCTTGGATTAATGGCAAGATGAAGGAACTGCCAAACCAGATGTCAGATGTGGGTGTGGTTCAGTAGGGCTAGGAGTTCTGGGGCCAGCTCTGTGTGGTGTACCTATCTTAATGAAGAGAGAAACTTCAGGGCTGACCCACCCATAGAAGTCAGCTATTTCATTTGGGGCCAGCAAACCTAATTTAATTGTTTCTTTAGATGTTTAACCACAAACCAGTACTTTCTGTCATACTCAGCTGGATGATTCAACACCAGATATTATATTGCTCTTTGTAGCGCAGCCCTGAAATGGACAGCATAGTGAGGTCCTAGGCTTTACTGAAAGAGCATCCTTTCATAATGGGGAAAAGCAGAAAGGCTTTCAGGAAAGTTTTGAGTTGCAGTGTAGTTCTCAGCTGTCTGTGTGTTAGTACATAGTAGCCCCTACATATTTTAGCCATGTATGGTCTCAAATTTGCCAGTTCTTTTATTGATAGAAGTGAGAGCTGGATTCTGTCCAGAATCTGTGTGCAGCGTGGAACTCTGCCACAGTTAGTTCATGGGAGCATATGCCAGTGAAACTGAGGTGACACACCCCCAAGTTCATCAAAAAGTGAATGGTTTTTTTGGAGGGAGCGTTCCTTACATGGATGCTTCCCTTGATTACTTTTCAATACCTGGTTTTGACATTATCCAAGCAAAGCGCCAGGTGCTAAGAAGTGATACTACTGAAGTCAGTATTTTTAATCTGCACATGACTTTCAGTCAGCTGTAGACCATCTGCAGCTTTTGCTGCAAACTGACACTGGTGGCAGACTTGGGCTTCAGCAACTTGTCTGTGTGTAAGTATTTGACATGTTTCCAGTGTGGGCATGTTTCCAGTATGGGAACTCTTCATGTCTTAGTAATTGATTTCACTCCTTTGTGTCATGTTCTTGAACAGCTGCATGTTCCATTCCCTTCAGTGTGTTTCACACAGCACCCGTCTAAACAGAAGTTTTGGGTTGTTTTTTCCATAGTAAACACTTTGCAAAGGGAGAAAACAAATACTTTTGCAGAGCTAAGTTTCTAGGTTGCTGATGTAAATGAGGCAGTGTTTACTTCAGTTAAATTGGATTGTAGGTGGAGTTGGAAGAGAAAACACAATGGTGGGGGGGGGCAGTGTCTGAAGCTAGCTGTTAAACGTTTGCTATTTCTAAAAGGTCTGGTGGACACAATCTCTTTATACTGTCCATGTATCGCACTTGCTGGAATAAGAGTTAAACTGTTTTCTACTGTGCCCACCGCCCAAGATTTTTTTCTGGAGGTAGTGGTGTGGTTGTCTGATACTGAAATGAATGTCCTAGAGCCTCACCAGAGGCAGATGGCCAGGCTTTGACTAAATGATTAGCAGTAGATGCGGGGATGTCAACTCTTCCACCTCCAGCATGAATAAGGAGTTTTGGAGGCTACTGCTATGTGAGTCGTTGAGAAGCCTAATCCCAGCTTCTGTTGCTGCCTTGCAATCTAATAGTTGGCCCTTTACAGTTAAGGAAACTAATTGCAAAGAAGGTAGCTATTCAGCTCCTGCCACAATGGGGAACATTTCATCTTGGTCTCTGAATGCAGATGCATAACAGACTGTTGTCTGTCCATCCTCTTTTTTATTGGATGGAAAATTCAAGGCTCTTTTCTATTGTAAAAGAGACTTTGTAGTCAGACTTGCACAAAAAGGAAAGCAAGTACTTCTTGTATATGGACACGTTCAAACAAATTATTGATCTTTGGTATTCAGTTAGTTCTTTATGCAAACCAAAACATGATAGCCTCTGGTGAGCTGACAGTAAATGCTAAACCTGCTCCCTTTAGTGTGGGGATGGGACTTTGAATATACTGTCAGCTGGCCTATACCCAGTGGGTTTCAAATGGCTGAGCTGTTTGTGTGGATTGGTTCCTGTAAAAGGAGAGTCCATAGCTGTTCTCCCTGCTGGCTACTGTCTGACTAGCAATCTGTTCACTGTATCTCAGTTACTATCTTGAGGTGGTCTTTGGTCCCATCATGGGATGTGTAAGAATAAAGTTACGACTATTCATTCTCTAGCTCTGTTAAACTATGTTGTATGCCTAGAATTACAAATTGAGCATTTTCTGCATGATGCTGCTTCTGAAAAATGAGCTTCTTTGATCAGTGCTTTTTTGAGGGAAGAGAGAATTCATCTACAAAGCAAAATTAGGTTTTGCTGTTGCAGCACATTGACCTTCTGGTGTGAAACCTGACTTTTGACTCTTTCATAGAAAAACTTTAAGATGTCCTGTATGTTTTTGCCCTAGAATGCCCTTTCACTTTGAGCTGTCAGTTCTGAGTTAAGTAAAAAGGAAGCTGCTAAGCATTATCAAAGTTTCTAGCTGCACAGCTACCTCAGTGCATGCTGCTGGCTTTGTTCAATAACATTCAGGAGGCACACAAACTTCCTTTTTTTGGGTAAATTGATTCTAGCTTGAATTGGTGAGACTTTGGCCTGTTGGGAGGATACAGGGGTCTAGCCTATACCTTAGACAAGGAGAGAGGTACTAACTTGCTTGCTGAAGTGCTCCATGGCTGACTGGAAAGCTTTCACAGATATGCCCTGGTTTAGTGGATACTGCATCTTACAGGCTCCTCAAGCAGCCTGCGTACAGACCAGTCACAAAATCCTCAACTGGTTTGACTTGTGCGGTATGAAAATGTACTCCCTTCTTCCATGACCCCCACGTGCTCTGTGAGGCAGCTTCTCAAATGCTTTGTTTCTGATCACTTCTGACCTTGGATCCTGCTGGCACCTTGTTCTTTCTTCCCTTTCAGAGCAAATTACTCCTTCAAGTCTCTGGTAGAGGAGTCTTAGCTGTCTGCTCTGCTAGGTCTGGGTGGTGAATGCAGTCGATGGGTGGGGATCTCTACCCATTTGATAGGCCTTATATCAGGACCTTTTTAACAATGAGTTGTGGTTACTAAGTTATTCAGTCAGTACTTCCTTCCCCAAACTAAAGTGAACTCTTATTTCTCCAACTTCAGAACAGATTCACTTCTCAGTGATGTGTTTAGTGCTCTCTGAGCCTATAGCTGACCATGTAAACTTCGGTCCTTCCAATGCTAGCTTTTGGACACTACAAAGTCCAGGAGATGGTGGCTTTGGCATGCCACTCCAGAGTAGGCCTTTAGAGTAAGCAAAACCACCCAATCTCATTAAAGGCGATCTCTGTCCAATTAAAAGGTATGAAGCCAAGTCGCAGGTTAAGGAGAAACATGACATTAGAAAAACTTTGCAAAGTCTAAAGTGACAGATATTAAGCATGCAGTTAACCTTCCTAGGAGGCTTTTCCTCAGTTTTCTGAGCTTTTGGGGTCAAAACTAAGCTTGTAATAAAGTGCACTTGGCTATGGGTTAAAATTGTAACAATAAGCATCTCCCTGCTTACTGTAAATGTAGTCACTGGTGCTGTGTTTTGTTCAGCTTTGAACCTAATACATAGTGGAGTGTGGGGGTGTTTTTTAAAATTCTTTTTAATTCTTAAGTATCCTGTAGATTTCATTACGAGCCAGGGTTCCTAAAATTCTGACTTCATGTGCCCTGCCCTGGCTTGCTTTTTTGGTGCAATGAGTTTAATGGCTTTGTAGAGTACCAGTTTGTCAGTCTCTTCTTTAATCATTGCTAAAGCTTACAACACAGGTGGACCAAATCCCTCTTGACTTTTGAGTGACTCTAGCTGAGTTGAGCTGTGTTTGGAATAAAAGTGGCTGGTCTCTCATGGCCTGTAAACTGAGCTTTGTGAGGAGAGAGACCATAGAGAAGCCTTTAGCCTTGGAAGGTCCTACCCACTAGTGCTTAAATATATAGGAATCTGGACTGGAGCACTTGATCCTGTAGATGAAAGCACTGAACCAAAAGCTTACTATGGCAGTTTTATGGTGAAAACCAGCAAGTGTTGGGACAATGGCCAGTTCCTCCAGCAAATGCCAGAAATCTTGTTTGTGTGATGAAGGCTTGTTTTTGAGTTGTATAGAAATGTCTCAAATTTCAAAGGAATATGTGGAAACATCCTAGGTTTTGTAAAAGCAGTAGTCCAACCAAAAATGGACTGCTTGTTGCGAAGGAGGGCAATGGCAAATTGTAATAAGCTTAACTCAAAAATGATCCTGTCATTATCCTATAATTTAGCACTTTGGCATTTTAGCACTTCAGACAGCTTGGGTGTTAAGTTAGGGTACCTGGAAGACCATGTTCTAAGTAATTTTTGACTGGCATATGAAACTGCAGGTGTGGAACCAGTTTAGAGGTCCTCCAGCAACAAGGTTTGCTAGCAGTTTTCTTTCAGGCATCATGTCATAGAAAGGGAGAGGCCCACTTTGTCTTTAACTAGGTCAGCGGGTGAGATTCAAGACAGATTTGTGCTGCAGGATAGCCTGGGATGCTTTGGGCTTCGGTGCAGGAACTTGGTCTGAGTGGAACATCATCTCTGCTTGCATGCTTTGGTCTTGCTGGTGCGTAGACAGTGCATTCACGCAGGATCCGTGCTTGTATGCCACTGTGGTGGAGTATTTCCTGGGCTGAGGATGAGGGCAGTCTTCAATTGTCATGTTGATGCTAAAATCTACATGTAAGAGGCTGCTTATGGCTCCTCTTCTGCTGTGGAGCAGCACTCAGTGGCAAGAATATACTTTGGAGGGACATGGGTGAGTGCTGAGGGGAAGGACGGGAGGGGTTGTGCAGACCTGGAAAATGTGGAGGAAGGAGAGAAATGAGAGAGAAGATTACCTGGAAGACTTTGTTTCTTCTTTGAACGTGAGTAAAAGAATTTGTACCACTGTGTGGTTAGACTGTCTGTAGAAGGTGAAGTGAGAGTCATAGAAATGCACCTTCTCCCATGAGGCAGTATTGCTTGCTAAGTGGAATTTAAGCTAATGGTACTTGATGAAGAGCTTTGCCATGGCTGTTCAAGGTGCTGTGGGACAGCTGGATTTTAAGGCTGCCTGTACTCTCTTGCCAGTTGTAGACTAAGCCTTGTACTGCAGGTTAAACAAGGCCCAGGGACTGCCTTAATGTTCTCCCTGGCATGAAGAAAAGATGTCACTGTCCAGCTGAAAGTGCAAACTTCAGGTATTTAAGTACAGTGATCTGTGTACAGTACTATATATTCTCCTGTCCTGTGTGCCAGGCCTTCTGCACCCTCAGCTGCTGCCAGTGACTGCTTCTTGGAACATCTTGCAGTTCGTGCAGGCTCTTAATGCTGTACACCCCCGAACGTAATTGAGCTGCTCACTGCCAGCCAGGCTCCTTGCAGCTGTAGAAGGCTTGTTCTTCATGCTTTTTACCTTAGTAAATGACACTAAATAACCTGCTAAAGCTGAGGTGGGAAGGAGGGAGCTTTTGCCCCCCTCCTGTAGCACTCGGTGTGATGTTGTGTGCTGTTTTGTCTCCCCCTCTCCTCTGTCCAGGCCGTTGTTGTCTCTGCTACTGCTGTGCAGACTTCTGCTGTGGAATAAAAATCCTTTTGTGCAGGGCCTCAGTGTGGTGCCTTTCAGGTCCTTGCTGGCGCTCCAGCTCGCTGAATTCCCAGGCGAAAGCCGCTAACAGAGCGAGGCAGGCAGAGAGGTGCGGCAGAAGGGGGAGCTCCATCCCATTCAGATGTTAATGGTGCCGAGAACAGAGCTTGCTTTGGGCTCTGGGACAGCCTTTCTTCCTCTCCTGGTACCACGTCCTTCCAGTGCACGCAGCAAACTGATTCTTCTCCAGAAGTCTCCTTAGCTGTGTGCATCCTTCAACATGACATGCCCAAGTGAAGGTTTATCTGCCCCCCATTCCCCTGTGTTTACAGGGGTTTTAGGCTGGCTCTCCAGTTCATATTCAAATAAGGACAGGCTGAATAATTTCATGGACTCCAGTGGGATGATGCATATAGATTACGTGACCTTGCGTAGGCTTTGTCTCCATATATGCTGCTAGTAGTGTGCCTCTGCTGAAAGCTCTGTTTGCTTTTTGAGCCTGAAAGAAACTAGGGCCGTAATGCTGCTTTTGTAAGGCCAGAAGAAATGTCTGATACAAGCCCTAAAGAATCTGACTAGTAATGTGTTTGTAGGGAGCCTATGTCCTCGGTGTTGTCATGCCAAAGCTAGAGACCACATCAGAAGGGAACAGTGTGCATCCTTAGGATTCAACAAGGAAGCAACTTAAAAGGAAGTAGGCATTTAGGGAGAAATCAAAACATGGGACAAAGCAGTACAAAATTACCTCAACTTACCTGGTGGAGGGACACTATGAGCTGGTTTTCCCAGGGCAAGGCTTATCCCCTGCTCTCCAGTTCTTGAGTCCCTCTGGAGGAGGGGGAGCTGCGAGCAAGCCCGAGGGGTGGGTGGTGTGTAAAAGCAGCCTACAGTGTCGTACTTCAGGTACAGTGTCGACCTAAAGAGAAGTGTCTTCTCCCTTCCTCTTCCTTGTCTAGTAATGGAGGTGACAGGGAAGTGCCTTGTTTGCTGGTATGAGAACAACTCCTAGGGGTTCAGGAGAGATGTGAGGGAACTTCAGTTTCTAGACTTGGTGCACCCTGTGGCATGTCCCAGGCTTGCCAGGGCACAAAGCTGTGGCCTTGTGCTAGTGAACAGGCTTTACCAAGGAACTTCCCTTTCCTTTTTACCAGCAGTAGCATTCTACTGCAGTAGTCTTGCCCCCCCGTGAGGCTCTTGTCTCTTGTTACAGTATGTCTGTAAAGCCTTCTTAACTCTTATTTACATAGCACCCATGGTGTGCTAGGGAAATTACTAAGGAGAGCGCTTTCATAGCAGTGTAGTTAATTTCTGTGGTGGCTCTTTGTCCTGGCACAAGGGATAGCATATCGATTTACCCACTGCAGTACCTCTTAATCGTACCTCTTTAAAAAGAGCTGCATGAAAGGTCTGTCCGCAGCTATTGGTGGAGTAGAATACGAATCTTAAAACAGTGCAGCCTAGTAAGACACAACCTAGCAAGGTGATTCGTGGCTTGCCCAGGAGTAGTACCTTGGCTTGATAAGTGAGGGGTGTACCTGAAAATGGAGCTGTGTTGTTGATTCTTGGCAGCTATTACACCTCTCAGACCTATGCATCGTATTTTGGCTATACCTGTTGCCTTATAAGTAGCTGAAGAAAAAAAGGTGTCCCAGCTGATGCTTATAAATAGCAACAAGCCTTCAACAGATGAGGGAGAGGGAAGAATACATCTCCCACTTAAGACCCCTTGGATGCCCTATGATCTGTGTATGCGCAGCCTAGCAAGGGAGGCAGAAGGCTAGGGCGCTGGTTGTTTTCCTGTTCATCTGAACTTACCTCTAACATGTTCTCTGCCACCAGTTAGATCAGCCTGTCTGGCTGGGGCTCTTGCTAATCATCTTTCTTCCAGGTCGTCAAGACGATTGGTCTAAGAGAGGTCTGGTTTTTTGGACTTCAGTATCAGGACACCAAGGGCTTCTCAACATGGCTGAAATTGAACAAAAAGGTACGTTTGCTCCAAGCTTTCACTTGTCCTGGGCTCCCTTTGTTGGAAGGTAGGGGCAAATTCAGTCTTCTTACTTCTATCAGGGATGGTTTTTGCCTTTCCACACACCTGAAGTACTGCAAGATTAGTGAATTGGTGTTGCCTTCCTTCAGTCCACGTGCCCCCTCCACAAGGTACAAGGAGTCACAATGTCTGACCTGGTCCTCTTGCATCTAGTCCTGTCTGTTATCCAGGCAGATCTGTTGGCCTTCCCTGTAACGTGCTGATGTGGTGATCACGTGAGCATCTTGGTTGGAGAGGAACCTGGAAAGTAACTTATGTAGCACTGATCATAGCTACTGGCTTGTCATAAGTCCTGTGGAGAGAGGTGATGAGGTACTTAGCAGTAAGGAACTGAAAATATGTGCTTTCCTGCCCACTCACTTCTGCATTAGAAAGGAGAATTTTTTTCTAACATATGCTTGTCTTCCTGTTGTAAACCTCTCCCCTTCACTTGGTATGTAGGCTATAAAATCTGATAACTCTGTTCCAGGTAACAGCACAGGATGTACGCAAAGAAAGCCCCCTGCTTTTCAAATTCCGTGCCAAGTTCTACCCAGAGGATGTGGCAGAAGAGCTAATCCAGGATATCACACAGCGCCTTTTCTTCCTCCAAGTGAAGGAGGCAATTCTGAACGATGACATTTATTGCCCTCCAGAAACAGCTGTCCTTCTGGCTTCTTATGCCGTCCAGTCAAAATACGGAGACTTCAACAAAGAGGTGCACAAGTCTGGCTACCTTGCTAGTGACAAACTTCTCCCACAGAGGTAAGTGAACCTGGATAGCTTAGACCTTCTTTGCCTTAAAGGATTTGGACTTTTTTTTTTAATTATTTCTTGGAGCGGGGGTGGGGTGGGGAGGTTGGGGATGTCTTGGTTTGAATGTTCAGAATACCGTATAGCCTGATGCCTCTCTGAGGATTTGGATTAGTATTCATTTAATTAAGAGCTTTAATCTTAAACATCCTGTTGCTACTGAAGAAACTAATCAGAAGTAGCGAGAGAAGCTCCAAAACTAAAAAAAAAGAAAAGGTAATGCTACAATGAGAAACACAACTGAATCCAACTTGTCATTTGTCAGAAGTCTGAATATTGACCAGTGTGTCTCTAGCCTTCTGATAAAACTATATTTCCTGGAATATTTTTGTAGTGAAACTGTGATGCCAATGGAGTATTTAATGAAGTGTATATTCAAGAGTGATGTGACTGTGTGTGCATAAATGCAGGGGCTGGTCTCAAACATCCCATGTACTCTTTCTAGAGTTCTGGAGCAGCACAAGCTTAACAAGGACCAGTGGGAGGAGAGGATCCAGGTGTGGCACGAGGAGCATCGGGGAATGATTAGGTAACTGATGCAGTGTGAAACTGCTGTATTTAAAGTAGTGTGGTATATGCTAGTGTGTAATGTATGAATGCATACAAAAATTTGTGGCTTGCTTCAGGATGAATTAGCATTCTTCAGGTTATTCTGCTCACATACCTTTGCCCTTGCTAGTCTGCATCAGCCGCCTGTTCTCAGTAAAACAAAACTGAGTTTGCAGAGTTTGTTGTTATCTACTAGGGTGATGCTTTGAACCTTTGCCAGCTTGTTGCTGCTTTTCCGATGTAGGAAGACAGCACCTTCTTGCTCTGATGGCTTATAGACTCAAAAAGGAATATCTGCTTTCATTTTGCACGCTGCAGAGAAGATGCTGTCTTGGAATACCTGAAAATTGCACAGGATCTGGAAATGTATGGTGTGAACTACTTCAGCATTAAGAACAAGAAGGGCTCTGAACTCTGGCTGGGTGTAGATGCTCTTGGACTCAACATTTATGAGCAGAACGACAGGTAATAACCCCCCTCTCCTCATAATTGCCATCAGCTCCTTTCCAGTATAAAGGCATCAAAAATTAATCTTTTCTGGTATTCTTGTCTTTAAACTCTTTGATTTCTATATCATTCTTGGCTATGTTTTTGACACTGCCAGAATGATCCATAAAACGTGCTGCTTTGGACCAAAAAATACAAGAAACTGGCAAATCTTATCAAGCTGGTTTAACTTGTATGCCTAGTCTTTCTACCACAGATGCGTTCTGCAGTTCTGTTTTCTGTTAAAAAAAAAAAAGTGGAATTGAAAAACTGCTTCTTATGTTTGTAGTTCATGTGCCTGACTAGTTTTGTTTGCTGATTCCAGTCAACATGAGAGTACTGAAATATGAGGGCAGATTTGGTAGGAGTTTGATTTTGAGTTTGTAAGTCAAGAATTTGGAGTGACTTAGGCATCTTATTTCCTTTTGCTTTCCATTTCTGCAGGCTAACACCGAAAATTGGATTCCCTTGGAGTGAGATCAGAAATATCTCATTCAATGACAAGAAATTTGTTATCAAGCCAATTGACAAGAAAGCACCAGTAAGAAGCAACATTCAATTAAACTTCCAGCTTCTTAGCTGAATGATCTCTTTTTTTTTTTTTTTAATTGCACACAATCATCTCATCAATAATGTCAGCACTGACTTGAGTTGACTTGAGTGCTCTACTGCCTGATCTGTTCAGGGCAATGTGCACAGAATGGGTGTAACGGCAGTGATAGTTGGGATTTGTTTCTGTCTAGGAGGGTAGAAATTTATCCAGTATAACCATAGGCTGTTCAAAGTCAGTGGCAGGGAGAAGCTCTTTGCTTAGGGTTTCTGATTCTCCTGCGACTGTTCAGATTCTCTGATACAGTTAGGTATCTACGTTAACTGTGAATGCTTCTTTTGCAGCCTTTCAGCTTTGGTAGTGTGTGGGGTGGCCTGTGCATTTTTTTTTTCCACCTTACCTGAAGCTGAAGCTTCAGGTCATTTTGTAGGATATGCTAGGAGGGTAGGGTTTTTTTCTTGCAAATTTATTATGAATGTAATTGGTTTCATCTTTAAGGCTTGTTAATTTCCTGCATCAGCTGATAACCTGTTCTTCTGGTCATTCTTGTTGCGTTGCTGCTTGGAAGAATTTCTTTTCTGCTGTTGCTCCTTGTTAACAGAACAAAGTTATTTATCCAGTGGACATAATGTTTAATGCCTTTTCTGGCATAAGACAAAACATTACACTTGATGTGGCTGGCCAGGCTATTGCATTAAATAATGAAGTGGGAAGAAAGGTGGGAAAAGTCATAGTAAACCAGCCCCTGATGGTGTTTGTAACAAAACAGTGAAGCTAGATTGCTGTATACTGTGTGCTAGGAATGCTTTGCAATGGAACCCAGCACACTGTAACAAGTTGGGCACTTCTGCCCTCTGTGTATTTGTCCAGTTGAAATTAGTTCCTTAAAGACAGGTGTCTAACTACCACCACTGCTTAATTAGACACCGTTAAGAAAAACTGGCTAGCAGTTCTAGAAAGCTTAGGGTCTTGGAGCATATTGCATACACAGGGGCTTCTTATGCTTAAAGAACAGGTCTAATGCTGCCTTTCTCTTGCCCCAAGGACTTTGTGTTCTATGCCCCTCGGTTACGGATTAACAAACGAATCTTGGCACTTTGCATGGGGAACCATGAGCTCTACATGCGCAGACGTAAACCAGATACCATCGAGGTGCAGCAGATGAAAGCACAGGCTCGGGAAGAGAAGCATCAGAAACAGATGGAGAGGTTGGTAGGGTTCTGAGTAACCTGGACTTTGTTGACCACATAATAGCATCATGTGCTAGATAAATTGCTGGCAGCACCTTAATCTGCTTGAGCAAAAACCAGAGCAGATTGCTTTCTGCTTCAGTAGATCTGATGGGATGATGGAAATGGCAGTCATTACAGTTGTCACCCACCATCTCTTTCTTAGATTTGTCTGTCTGTTTGACAGGACTAGTACAGATCTTGATATACAGAGATTTCCCTTGCAACATTGCTATTATGAACTTGCCATTGAGATGAATGCCAGCGGAGCTTTTTCTTCACATTTGGAGTAAAACTTACCAGCTGAGTGCTGTAGTGCACGTCTCTTGTGTGCTTATGGCTTTGCTAGGAAGCACTCCAATCTGAGCGGCTGTTAATTTGAAACTGCATTATGACTTCTCCCTCATCAGAGCCCTGCTGGAGAATGAGAAGAAGAAGAGGGAGTTAGCAGAAAAGGAGAAGGAGAAGATCGAACGTGAAAAGGAGGAGCTAATGGAGAGACTCAAGCAAATTGAGGAGCAAACCAAGAAAGCTCAGCAAGGTAATGGGAAATGTTTCAGTATTTCCTTAGATGCATAGTCTGAGTGAGAAGGGTTCAAGTAGTGAAGTTATGAGCATTTCTAAGCCATTTGGCTCTCCAGTATTGTGTGCTAGCTGGTGTTAGGGCCCTGGTTTAGCCTTCTGAAGCTGCATGTAAGCCCTGCATGTTCAGCTGCTGAAATAGGACTTGAATGAGAGTGGCAGCCAAGATGCCCCTGTGGCAGTGAGAGTACCTTGCAGTTGTTAATGTGCAAGCTGCAAGCTTTATCCCAGCACGTCTGTAGAGGATGGAGTCAAAAATTGTAGCAGGGGTCATACCAGCCAGTACTCTGGTGTGATTGCTATCTAATTGCTTGGCCAGTGTCACAGTGTGGTGTTGCCCAAGGAAAATGCTGTATGCTTCTCTGCTGTTAAGGATGTTGTTTTGGGATGGGTACTTCCCCACAAATCAATCAGGCAAGTCATCTGTGGGCTTGGAACAGGTCTGGCTCTTAGTCTTGTAGCTCCAGTTGCAATGTGAAGGAGAGGAAGAGGGCTGGTTGCTTGCATCTCTCCTTTGCCTGTCCCTCTGAAGGAAAACCCTCATCCAGAATGTAGGTGTAAAGGCACCTTCCTCTTCTACTGCCATTCTTCACTTGATCTCTCTTCAAACGCACTCCCCTATTCTCTCAGAACTGGAAGAACAGACCCGCAGAGCTATGGAGCTGGAACAGGAGAGAAAACGAGCTCAGGAGGAAGCAGAGAAACTAGCTAAAGAACGTAGAGAAGCAGAAGAGGCAAAGGAAGCCCTATTGAAAGCTTCCCACGATCAACAAAAGACTCAGGAACAGCTGGTAAGTGGGTGAGCTGAAAATTGGGTAGGGAAAATAGTGACAAGGTGGGCATCTAAGCTCTCGAAGCAAACCAGGCTATGAATATAGTGAGGAAGAATATTTTGGTTCTTTAATTTTTATTCATCAAGTAGATGAACTTATGCCTAAATACAAGTGTATTTGTGTAGGAGGTCTGGACTGTTGTGCTTTTTTGCCGCCTGTTTTATGTGATGCTGAGAACAGAGTGTAGAGCTCACTAATTCCTTTCCCTGGTTTGGATGTTTGGATTCAAAGAATTGAGTTCTGTAGCTCTGAGGAGAAGAAGAGGGGAAAAAAAAAAAGAAGACCCACAACAAAACCCAAAACTTCTTCAGCTTCCTTTTCCCTTTCATCATGGGGATATCTGTGGGACTGAAGTTTGCATGAAGGCTTTCTCCATATTGCAAAGTTGTTAGAGAGACTTTTTTTTATTCAGGACTTGGACTAAATGCTTCATTTAGCAAGTACTTTGGTTTTGTCCCCACTAAAAGCCTTTCTTTTGCAGGCTGCTGAGATGGCAGAACTCACAGCTAGGATCACGCAGCTGGAGCTGGCCAGGCAGAAGAAAGAGAGTGAGGCCCAGGAGTGGCAACAGAAGGTAAAGCAGAGTCTGAACAAATGGCAATACCTTTTGTGGAGTTGCTTTTCATTCTGTGTTGTGACCTAAACTACTGCACTAGACACCACACTAGACTGAGTGTCTGCAAGCTTGATGCCCTGGTAAATACCCAGCTTTGTTTTTCTTGGTGGAATAAGTGCCTTACTCTTAACTCCTTGTAGAGATAATTTTGACTAATTAGGCCTAATGGAAATGACTAATTCATTTTCCATGAATTATAACCATTCTTCAAATCTCTGAAGTGTTAGCCAGTAGAAAGTTCTGCAAATGATTGTGACTGAGTAGCTTTGGAACATACTACTTCAGTGTGCAAGAGGTGCAAGTTTTCCTGTAATAAGCACTGAGCAGTGCTTCTGTGCGCTTCTGTGAGAAGTCTCACACTTGGGATTATATTGACTAACTCCCTGTGGCATGTCCTACTGCAGGCACAGATGGTGCAGGAGGACCTAGAAAAGACCAAAGAGGAGTTGAAGACTGCCATGAGCACCCCTCATGTCACTGAGCCAATGCACTCTGAGAATGAGCATGATGATGAGCAGGATGAGAATGCGGCAGAAGCCAGTGCAGAGCTACGATCAGAGGCCACCATCAAGGACCGCAGTGAGGAGGAGCGCACTACTGAAGCAGAGAAGAATGAACGGGTTCAGAAACACTTGAAGGTAAGAAGTTGGCAGCAGAGAGGATGTGTGTCTGGGTGCTGCTTCTATCCTTGCCGTTAATTGCAGCTGGGATGTATTACTGGTATTTTTAAAAAAACAGCGTGAGGGTCGGGGGGTGGGGGGGGCAGAGGGGTGATCATGATCTTGCCAGACAGCTGCTTAACCATTGAGCAGAGGTGCAGATCTTGTCTCCTGACACTTGACTACTATTTCACTGGAAGTGGTGAAGTATTTTCAAGCAGTGCCAAAAAGCAGTGTCTGTCAGACGTACTGTGCTTGTGTGAGTCTTACCAGCCATCTGACAGCTGTTCATAGCCCTGGCTGCAGTGAATCAGAGAACTTGGTCCAATTCCTGTCTAGCAGCTGTCTGTAACTGTCTAGTATGACTGGGTTGCATTGCAAAACCCTGAGAGTAGCCCACTGGGGCTTGGCATAGAGGGAGCAGTGCTGCACCACCTTCTCACAAGGAGCTCCAGTGTTCTGGTGTTGGCTCTGTCCAAGCATTTTGTTACGCTGCCTGCTAGCCACCTGACTTGCATCAGGCTTTGCTTGTTCTGCATCGTGCTGTGGTGGTTATGCACAGGCAGAGTGATAGAGGTGCACTTTATCTTCTGCAGCAAGCTGCTTTTGTGGTAGAAGGCTAGTAATTGTTCAAATTCTGCAAAATGCTCCTGGTGTCTTTGGGGATCCCTCCAGTTGACTCTTCTGAAGTATGTTGGATATAGTCTTACCGTGCTAGACAAAGATAAATAGGGTGACAGACTGCCTGATGTTTTCTGCCTTCAAATGTTAGGGAAAAATATTAACTTCCCCAGAATCACAGAATTGTTTAGGTTGGAAAGGACCTCTTAAGATCATCTAGTCCCACTTCCTTGCTCAAGCAGGGTCAGCTAGAGAAGGTTGCCCATAACTCTGAATGTTCAGGCTTATCTGTTTCCCATCTCCATGATTATTGAATCTTTAGGAGGATCAGCAAGGAACCTTCTTGTCCAGCTTTGAGTGTCTGGTATGTGCTAACTCACTGCTATCTGTTTCCCCTTCTCTGAAGGCTCTTTCCTCGGAGCTGGCAAATGCTCGGGATGAAACCAAGAAGACAGCCAATGATATGATCCATGCTGAGAACATGCGTCTAGGCCGAGACAAGTACAAGACCCTCCGTCAGATTCGGCAGGGCAACACCAAGCAGCGCATTGATGAGTTTGAGTCCATGTAAACTCTCCCCTGCACCTGCTACCCTGCACTCTCTTCTCCCCTCCTTTCCCATCCTCTCCCATCATTCACTCGTAATCGTGCTACGCTGGAACCACTACAGAAGAGTGACCATGGTCTTATTTATAGAGTTTTGGGCAAATGCTGGAGTTAAGCAACAGAAGAAAGAATAGTATTTACATCTTCCTGGGGTGGCTTGAGAAAGCAAACATGTATTGGGGCAAATCTGAAATTGTTTGGCTTTGGTTAGAGTCTCACTGCATTTAGTTTTGTATTGCTTACTGAAGTGGCTGTGTTGCTGTCTTCTTCCATTGGGTGGGAGGCCAGCAGATACTTTTACTGAATTATGTGAAGTGCTAACAGTTTGACACTGTGCCTTCCTACTAACTCAGGCAAGCTTCAGTAATTAAGCTTAGTAGCCAGGGTCTGAATTTCTGATTTAATACAGGGTCTGAATCATGTAGTTGAGAAGGGGAGGCTAGAGCTTAGGAAGAAGGGTTGGAGGTAGAATATGGACTTTCTTTCTAAAAGACCAAAGCTTTTGTCCTTCAAACATAAGCAGACCAAACAGATTCTGTGGCGTTCCTGCTGGTGTTATCTTTTGTTGTTTAATGGTGGAACTTTGAATTTCCTAATCACAAAGAGGCCTTTGGAATATTTCCACTAATGCAGTGTGGTTTGAAGCCTCAACTTCCCTGCTTTCCAGAAGTTTTGTCTCTAGTAAATGACTTTGTTCACTGTCATTTGTCTGACTTGAATGTAACCAGTGAGGTAGAGATAGCTAAAGAACACTGCCTTCCTTTTTGGGTTTGCTGATGGAAACCTAAAGGGGTAGGTAGAAATGTAAAAGACTAAAAATTCCTGTAACTGCATTTTCCCTTGCTGAACCAGTGCATTTCCAGTCATGTGAACAGGATTTCAGTTTTTTCCATAAGAGGCCTTTTTAGCACATAGTCATCGGTGCCTTATGACTGTGTATAGATCCACTGTAGCTCAGATACCTTTAGTTTAAACTAGATGCAGTCATAAAAAGTGACCAGCAGCTGGGGACCAAAAACTGCTCTTGTATCTGGGTTATGTAGAAGACTGCATCTGTCTTCCTGGCTTCAAGCAGCATTTGAGGGGAGAGGATCATGAGATATTTGTCCAATTATTGCCTTAATACTCAGTAGCATTCTGCCAGATCCCTGGCTCAAGTGCTTTTCCTTCCCCATAAGGATGCTTTGCCCCTTTGTAGCTTTGACAACAGAAGGCTCTGTTTCTTCGAAATGGGACAGCAGTGGTTGTTGAGACTGGTCCCGAGAGCCGTTTGTACCAGTTGTTGTAATACCCATCACCTCCTGTCTTCCGAGCTCTCTGTGCTGTAGCTACCCAGAATCCTTCCTGCCATTTCTGGGGAGGAAACAGCCATGTATGCTCAGGGTTGAATTGGATTTTGCCTTGATCCTTCATAGAAGGAAATGTTAAGCTTCAGAAGAGGCCTCTTTAAAAATGGATTCCACCTACAAGGGAGTCCTCCTTTGCTTTGCCCTCCTTGGTTTAGCCTGTCCTTGCAGGGAGTCATCAGGCTAGCCTGTGATTTGTTGTGACTTTCTCAGTTTTGTGGATTCCCCCTTTGTGTGGTATCAGTGCTAGTGGTCATAGAAGGAAAACATCTGAGTGCTAGAGCATTTTCAGCTCCCTGCTCTATGGGATGTGTAAAGGGGGACTGTGCCAAAAAGAAACATTCATGATAGTGTTCATAAACTGCAGTATTTCCCCCCAAATTCCTTGGGCTTCTGGAAACCTTATCAGTGCTTTATTATTTTATTTTTTTGGAAGCAATACAAGTCTGTGTGGAGATCCACACGAATACTAACCAACCAACCTCTGTTAGAAACATGCTAAGCTATGCTCCTTCTGAACATCCAGATAAGTCACATGGGAGCCCCCTTCTCTCCTCTGGACACAGCATGCTTTTGGGGCGGACATGACATGGTAAGCTTTTGGTTGGCCAAAAGCGCATGCCTCAGTCCTTTGGAAGTCATAAATGAAAGATTACGGTTAAATTTGTCAGAACATATTTGCATATTTCTGTACTGAAGGGTTACTGGCACTGGCTCTACGTGAGTCTCACTACCAGGGGAACAGCCTTTACACTTCTGTTTTGGTGCTTTAAAGCTGTTTCTCAGCACTTCTGCTCTGTCCATGGCAACTATTGATGCATTTGTGGAGAGAAAAGCCTTTATTACAACTTAACAGTTTCCTAACGAGCTGATGTATGGTGCCTGGAATACGCATTCAAATAGATGGAAACCAGTAAACCTTTTCTGCTTTGATGGGTCACACAACACTGCTGAGCTCATGTATTATGATGCTGGCGTGACACCTGTTTATAGGGTTTTTTAATTGTTCTAATTCCAAATGGTCCAATATAGGAATAGAACGGCTTGTGCCAGCGAGTCCACCTAACTCTTTGTAGTTGTTTCAGCCCTGCCACCTTCTTAACCAGTATTATATTCCAGTGGTATCTAATGATATTTGATTTCAATACTTCTAGCTATGCACAATTAGAAAATACTAGTCCTGGGATGGAGGATATGTTTATGGTCCTCCTTCTCTTGGAAATGTATACTGTATTGTAAAGAAATGATATTTTGCAAGAAAACTAAAGTAAGAAGCTTTCAGTATTATGGTGAGATTGTAGACACGTTTTTTTATATGTTAGAATACAGTGAATTGTTCTTTTTCCTCTCTGTTCCAGTTTAATTGGATAACTGCTCCTCTTGGGGGTGGGGGGAGGGAAGTACTTTATCAAATGTTTGCCTGGCTTTTCTTTTTCTTGTTTTATTTTTTTGTTGCTGTAAATTATGTTGAGGTTTTTGACCAGTCTTTTTACTGGATTATAATAACACAGCAGTTCCTTAAGGTTGTGGAGTAATTCATGGATCCATGTGCTTAACTGCAGAGAGAACCTTGTTATTAAGGCATTTTTTTTCCTTTTTGGAGGAGTTGTTAAAATCCATGCCCTGTTCTTCCTAAAGTGCCAATAAAGTTCAGAGAAATTCAGCAGATGGTGTCTGGCTGTTTCCTTAAGGCTTGTTTTGAGCCTGGTGCTGTCTCCAAGCTAAACAGGTCTGCCGTGTGGTTCCCAAGAGGTCAGCCTTGCAGCACTCTTGCAAATAAGGAGATCTTACTTGCATCGTGAAAAGCAACTGCTTGAATAACATCCATTTCCCAGCTCTCCAAGCTGTCTGACTGGAGCAAGTGCTGGAATTAACATCTCTGTGGAGACACTGAGTATAAATTTATATTGTGCGAATGGAGGAGGAGGAGCTGCGTCTGGAACTTGCCACTGGTGAGTGCTGCTGTGCCATGCCCATGTGCATCCACGAGCAGGTTGGCGTGCAGAGGGTGGCCAGGCCTTGATGCTGCTGCTTGCCCCTGGTGTCCTGCTGGCTCAGTCCTGCCCTGACCCCATACTGGGGATTTCAACCCAATCTGTTTTGCAGCTACCTTGCCATGGCTGTCTCTGCCTG